ATAGTTTGAAGATCAAGCTAAAATTGCTTAACTAGAACATATGCCTAAGGAGAAGGACAAACAAGTCGTCCTACTGATGGAGGAGAATTTATTGCCATGACAAAAGTTTCACCCTTATCTATAGGAGATGAAGTCAGGCCCCTCCACCTTTCCCTCAATGGTTGAAGAAGCATAACGATGAGATCCAATCTAAAAAGTTTGTTGATGTCCTTGATAAGTTGTATATTAACATTCCACTGCTTGAGGCCATTGAGAAGATGCCTTCCTATTCCAAAATTTTGAATGATATTGTCATGAAAAAGAGAAATGTGGAAAAACTATAAATTGATGCCACATCGAAATAATATTGTTCTGCACTGAGTAAACTTCCGCTGAAGCAAAGAGATCCTGGAAGCTTTGTTATACCATGTTTAATTGGTGACAACTATGTTGGGAGAGCCCTATATGACTTGGGATCAAGCATAAATCTGATGTCCAATTCCATATTTTTAAATCTTGTAATGGGTAATGCTCAAACAACCACCGTGATTTTGCAACTAGCTGACTGATCACACGTTCGTTCCGAGGGCAGAATTGAAGATGTCATCATAAAAGTGGATAATTTTGTCTTTCCAGTAGACTTCCTTATTCTAGACTGTGAGGCCGACGACAATGCACTTATTATTTTTGGGAGTCATTTCTTATCCACAGGGCACATCCTAATAGATTGTGAGAAGGGAGAGTTCACGATGAGGGTGTTGATAAAAGCCTCACAATCAATCTCTTCAATACTCTTAAATATATTAATGATTATGAAGAATGACATTGCATTGAATACATGGATACAATGGAGGAAGTTGGGGCATAATTTTTTTCCAGGTAAATTTTTACATCTAGAAGAGTATGATACTCAAGGCTAAGGCAATACTTTCGAAATGGAGAAGTGTTAAAATTTTTACCACGGCTATATTTTATAGCTGGAGGAACATAACAATTTTACCTGAGGCAAATTTTTTCAGAATGAGGCAAACAACAAAATTTTCCAAAACATATTTTCCCAATTGAGGCAAATGAAAGACTTACTGAAGATGAATTAAATGTGGAGTCCAAGGACTATTCATTGGAGGTGGGACAATCTAACTTTCTACAAGCTAGACCATGTATGAGATTCGAACCCCTTTACTTCAATTAATTCATTCCTCCAAAACCTTCACTACACCTACATTAAAATTTAAACCTTTGTCATCATATTTGAAATACGCTTACCTAGGTAGTGATGATACTTTGCCAGTTATAATTTCTGCTAGTCTAACCCCCGAGCAAGAGTGTAGTTTGTTGAATGTTTTATCATAGAATAAAAAAGCTATCGGGTTGACTATGACAGACTTGAAAGGAATCATCCCTACCATATACATGCACAAGATCCAGTTAGATGACTGCCACGACAATTCAGTGAAACCCCAACGAAAACTTAACCCAATAATAAAGAAAGTGGTGATGAAGGAAATCATCAAATGGCTTGATGTTGGGGTGATCTATCCCATACCCGATAGCTCTTGGGTCAGCCTGGTTCAATGCGTGCCGAAAAAAGAGGCATTACTGTGATAAAGAACGAGAATGACGACCTTTTGACAATAAGAACCATCACGGGGTGGAGGATTTGTATAAACTATCGGAATCTAAACAAAGCAACAAAGAAGAAGCATTTCCCCTCCCTTTCATCGATCAAATGCTTGATCGTTTGGCGGGCAAGGCATTTTATTGTTTCCTTAACGGCTATTCTGGGTATAATTAGATCGCTATAGCACCAGAAGATCAAGAGAAAAGCACTTTCACGTGCCAATATGACATCTACGCCTTTAGGAGGATGTCGTTTGGATTATTCAATGCCTCGACAACTTTTCAGAGGTGTATGATAGCCATTTTTTAGACATGGTGGAGGATTTCTTGGAAATATTCATGGATGAATTTTCATCTCGAGCAATAACTTTGAATGATGCCTCGGTAACTTATCTAAAGTGTTGAAGCGATGCGAGGAGGCCAACCTTATGCTAAACTGGGAGAAATGTCACTTTATGGTTACAGAAGGAATTGTGCTGGGTCACAAAATTTCTAGTCTCGGTATAGAGGTTGATAAGGCCAAGGTGGAAGTGATTGAGAACCTGTCTCCACCCACCAATGTGAAGGGCATAAGGAGTTTCCATGGGCATGCAGGGTTCTATAGACGTTTCATCATGGATTTTTCAAAGATTTCAAAGCCTTTAAGTTTATTGCTTCAGAAAAATCAACCGTTCATGTTCAACGATAAATGCCTCAATTCGTTCACAGATTTGAAGAAAAAGCTTGCCTCAGCACCATTTGTTATTCCACCTGACTGGGAAGCCCCTTTCGAGCTCATATGCGATACAAGTGACTATACAGTAGGGGCGGTGCTGGGACAAAGAAAAGGTAAAATCTTTCATCTCATTTATTATGCTAGTCGTACCCTAAATGATGCACAACTTAACTACACCACCACTGAATAAATTACTTGTCATGGTATTCACTTTTGATAAGTTTAGGGAATATCTTATAGGCACTAAGGTCATTGTACACACTGATCACTCGGCCATTAAATACTTAGTGAATAAAAAGAATGCTAAGCCTAGGCTTATTAGATGGATACTCTTATTGCAAGAATTTGATTTAGAGGTGAATGATAGGAAGGGTATCGAGAACCAAGTAGCAGATAAATTGTCTAGGCTAGAGAACAAAACAATTTGCCATGACATGAAAGAAATTCAAGAGGAATTCCCTGACGAGAAAATATTATTTTCCACGGCAGTGTCGTGGTATGCTGACATAGTTAATTTTCTTGTTAGTGGTATTATGCCTCCAAATTTATCTTTCCATGGCCGAAAAAAGTTTAGACATGATGTGCGACATTATTATTGGGATGAAAAATTCTTATTCAAACAATGTGGGGATCAAATAATCCAGAGATGCGTCCCTGAAGAAGAACAAAAGGATATTCTATTTCATTTCCATACATCCCTGTGTGGAGGACACTTTGATAGGACGAGGATGTGCGACATTATTATTGGGATGAACAATTCTTATTCAAACAATGTGGGGATCAAATAATCCAGAGATGCGTCCCTGAAGAATAACAAAATGATATTATATTTCATTTCCATACATCCCTGTGTGGAGGGCACTTTGGTAGGACGAGGATTGCTGCAAAGGTCCTCCAATCTGGCTTCTATTGGCCCACCTTGTTCAAGGATGTACAAGACTTCTATAAGTCATGTGATCATTGCCAACACACTGGGAATATATCGAAGAGAAATGAGATGCCATGATAAAATATTTTGGAAGTAAAGCTCTTCGATATATGGGGGATCGATTTTATGGGACCCTTCTCATCGTCCTTTGGCGATCTGTACATACTCTTGGTTGTGGACTACGTAATTAAATGGGTTGAGGCCGTGGCAACACCTAGAAATAACTCCAAGACCATGTTAAAGTTTTTGCACAAAAACACATTCACGTGTTTTGGAGCACCAAGAGCAATTATCAGTGATGAGGGCACCCACTTTGACAACAAATTAATTGCTAAGGCACAACAAAGATATGGGGTGCGCCACAAAATTTCCACAACATACCACCCCTAGACTAATGGACATGCTGAGGTCTCCAATCGCGAGATCAAACAAATACTCAAGAAGGTGGCAAACTCAAGAAGAAAAGATTGGTCGCCAAAGCTAGATGAGGCACTGTGGGCTTATCGCACAACGTTTAAAACACCACTAGGGATGTCTCCATTGAAGTTAGACTATGGAAAGGAATGTCAATTGCCTGTGGAACTAGAACACAATGCATTTTGGGCCATCAACAAACTTAACATGGATGAATAGATTTCTGGGGAAAGGAGGTTGCTGGAGCTAAACGAGATGAAAGAATTTAGAGCCCAAGTGTATGAGAATGCTCGTATCTACAAGGAAAATACCAAAAGGTGGCACGACATAAAAAATTTTCCACAACAATTTTTCCTGGCCAGTAAGTACTGTTCTACAACTCAAGGCTCAAGTTGTTTCCAGGCAAGCTAAAGTCAAGATGGTCAGGACCTTTCTTAGTGTATCAAGTGCAAAACCATGAAGCGATTAAAAAAAAAACTTGGATAATGGGACAACTTTTAAAGTGAATGGACAAAGGGTAAAGACCTATAACGGAGCACCCATCCTGCGCGACATGTCGGCATTGCTGCTCCATGATGCCTAAGAGTTTGCCCTTAAACTCTGAACAATTCTTCCTCGGCAATAATATTTTGCATTCTTTAAAAAAATAATTTTCCTTTCTTTTAATTTGCATGAGTTATTATATATATATATATATATATATATATATATATATATTATTCTCTAACTTTGTCTCTTCGACTAATTTTTGACACATAACAGCTTAGGATCAAGGCTCACACATTGGAGGAAGCAAAACCCTAATAATTAGTTTGGGTGGCAACTTTATGAGAGAAAATTTTTCTTTTTATTTTTCCTTATTATTTTATTCCTTTTTAATTTAAAACTATCCAATCAAATGTCTTCTCATTTATCACCTCAACCCAACTTTTGACTTTTTATTTATTAACCCTTACTTGTTGTCGGATACTGGTATATGAATATGTGAATAATGGTAACTTGGAACAATGGCTACACGGGGCTATGCGCCAGCATGGTACCCTTACTTGGGAGGACCGTATGAAAGTTATTCTCGGAACTTCCAAGGCGTAAGTCACCATTCAAACTTGAACCTTCTTGTTCAGTTGTTTCTTCTTTTGTTAGTTAAAAATTGAAGTGTCATAAAAGGCTGGTGTTTTTGGTTGCAGGCTTGCTTATTTGCATGAAGCAATAGAACCGAAAGTTGTTCACCGGGACATAAAATCAAGTAATATCTTGATTAATGATGATTTCAATGCCAAGGTTTCTGATTTTGGATTAGCCAAGCTCTTGGATTCAGGAGAGAGTCATATCACAAATAGAGTTATGGGAACATTTGGGTAACTCTTAAGTTCTCTTCGGCAATCATCTATTATCGTATATAAATTCTAAAGGGGTGTTTGGTTCAAGGATTGTGGGATTTTCATGGGATGAGAATCCCACATTCCCATGTTTGGTTGACCGGGAATCTCATTCCCGGTAATGTTTTATTATCAATAGTAGATTTTTTGGGGTATATTACCGAGAATGTCATTAACTGCCTTCCCTTAGGTATTGTAACATTACCGGCGTTTTGGATTAAAATGCCCTTAAATTTTTATTTTTTTTTTCAAAAATATCATTCTTTTTTCATTGAATAATAAAAAATTCTACGAAGGTTAAATTACAAATTTATCCTTAAATTATTTTAGATTTACAAAAAAAAATTCTATAATTATATGAAGTTCAGGGGTTAAATTTTTTTTTATCCTTTTATTAAACCTTTTTTATATTTTTAATTTTGTAAAAAAATTATATAAATATTATGAATTTAATTTTTTAAAGAAAATATATAAATATTTTACAATTTGTAATATTATACAAATATATAATAAGGACAGTTTGGTCAAATATATATTTCAATAATCTTTTATTCCTTTAATCAAACACGGTAATCTTACATTCCTTCTAAACCAACCAAACACAAAATACAACATTCTCAGTAATCCTATTCATAATCTTTTATTCTCACTGATAATCTTATATTCCGTGAACCAAACGCACCTTAAATATCTTCAGATTGAAAATTTTGAATGTAAATTGCAATTATGTGGCACCAGAAAATGTAACTCCGGCCAGTTAAATGAGAAGAGTGATATTTACAGCTTTGGTGTCCTCCTGCTCGAAGCTGTCAGTGGAAGAGACCCTGTCGACTACAGCAGGCCGGCTAATGAGGTACTGACTAATAAAAAAGACTAATACCTTGTCCAATGAATTCTCCTCTCTTAACCCCTCCCTATGTTGATTTTTTCTCTCTGTTCATATAACTTAGTTTCTTCAAGAATATTTCATAAGCAAACCACATGCCCACTGCAGGTTAACCTTGTTGAGTGGCTTAAGATGATGGTTGGAACAAGAAGAGCAGAGGAAGTCGTGGATCCAAGTCTTGAAACAAAACCCGCCACACGTGCTCTTAAACGCGCCCTTTTGGTGGCACTTAGGTGTGTTGATCCTGATGCAAATAAGCGACCCAAAATGAGTCAGGTTGTGCGAATGCTTGAAGCGGATGAACACCCATTTCGTGAGGTAAAGGTCTCTGTTTGCTGGTTGTTAATGTTATTATTGTGTATATACTGTATGGTTTCCTTTTCACAAATTATTTATGTTACAAGGTGTAGTGCATTTCTTTTGCATTTAGTTTGTAAATTTTAGCATATCTAGTAGTGAACCATACACTCGGTATCTTTTGGCATAGTATTTTCCCTTTGCATCTCCTGTGCTCCCGACACTACAAATCGTTCGAGTAGATAACATCAGAGAATCCTACCAGGCAGAAAACCTGTCTATCCCGAGTACAAGTTCTTGTGAATGCCTCCTTGATAATTTTTTTTATTTTAATCACGACAATATATTGGCTTAGCAAAAATCATGAAGTCTTTGAAGTATTCATCTATGTTATTATATGAATTTCTGATGCTGAAGTTTTCTGTAGTTTTTGAATCTCATGAAATTCTTATTCTTGCTTGTACTTGCACTGCTTCTTGTAGTTCATTCATATTTAGTGATATACGGTTGTGTCTTACTCTGCATATTTTCTATTACAAGCTCCATTGAGTCGACTCCTGTGATCTTGTTCAGGACCAGAGGAACAGGAAGAGCCGAACAGCCAGCATGGAAATCGAATCTTTGAAGGAACCAACCGACGTGGAGAGCAAGGCCCGGGAATCACATGGCATTGTAACCAAGACGACTCATGAGTAATAGGGACTGACAAAAGGCAATGACATGGTGAATAATGTAGTATTTAAAGCTTTCAGTAACTCATCTATACACACACATCTAAAAGTTTGTTTTTGGGGCGTACGTCCAAAGAGAAGCGGCTTGAAGATAGAAGAGCACATCATAAGCAACAGCTGTTTCTTGGGCAAATCAGCGCATGAAAGGCTGAGAGAGAGATTAAATGGTCCTTGTTGTACAGGCATGTCTCTGGGATTGATGGGCTGTCTTTTATTACTGTAATAATATAATATGATTATTATTTATTTCATTTATCCCCCCTGGGGACGATGATCATTTTCACTTGCACTCTTGCTTTTATCTTGTAATGATTGAATGAACCCCAAGTGTGGCCATTGTTTGTTTATTGGTTTTTTTTTAATCCAAAAACAAGTGGATGGTCAAATTTCAATCTTCTTTCTCCATGATGTAGTCTCCTCAGACCTCACAATCACAGTAATCAATTTCTCGTTTCTGATTTCATCATGTTTTTCTTCAAAAGCTGACCTTTCCCAAATCTCAATCCCAATCCCAATCCCAATCCCATTGCACCATATGTTTATTATACATAAAAGTATGGTTTAAGAACAGAAAACAAAACAAAGCATTGAGAAGCTGAAATGAAATGTTCCTTATGATGTATAATAATAATAATAATAATAATAATAATAATAATAATAATAATAATAATAACAATAGTGTGGTTTCTGGTGAAACATCATTTTAGTGCATATTTTACGTTTATGACTTGTATACATACTTTTAACACTTTTTCAGTTGAGTTGTCTCCTTGCCGTTTTAGGGTCGAATTGGTTTATTTATTTATTGTTTTGAGTATAGAAAACACCGTTAAAGTATTAATGAAGTTGGAGTAGAATTTTCTGAGAAAAAAATATATTAAATGGAGTTGCATAGAGACAAGAATATCAATACTAAGAGCTATTTAATAAATTATTAGATGGTGGAACTTTTCATGAAGCATTAAGAGATGATGTTGCTTAGAGAACAATGCCATCTTTCAAGGATGGATAGAAAGGGACAAACATTCCAGTAATTCCTGAAAATTTTAAATTCTTATATAGTTTAGATATTTCTTTATATTTTAATTGATAATTTATTTTCACATAAATTTTTTTATAAATCTATCCTCTTAATATAAAATTATGCGTATGATCCCACCATCATCCAAAACTCAGAATCAGCAGAACACCAAATATCAATCAAGCATGGCGCTAAGAACAGAACCCACCTGAATTTAACCTTAAATATTCCACAACATGCAACAACAATGGAAGCAATCCATTCAACGTGTAAGGTATCCGGTTGTGTGACAAAATAGGTTATGTAATTATTGTCTGCAGATCATTGATCCCACAACCACTTTGAAGCGAAAGCTAAAACTTTCTGCGCCTCACAATCTTCCAGCAATCCATGGATTCTTCTCTCCTAAGTATCTTATGTTATTTTCGATTCACAAAATGGTCATTCCACTCTCATTCCCGCGTTATGTCAGTAATCCTTGTACTATGTTTAAGTTATTGTTTTTGATGTGCTGAGGCGTTTGAAAAAAAATAAAAATTAGAAAGTGTTTAGGGGTAAATTAGATATAAAATTATTTTTTGAGGACATGTTTGATATTTTAGCAGTAGTTCTGGTGTAAAAACTAAATATTAACCATCTTATTAATGTTTCTACATCAACAATTTAACGGTAATGATGGTGGAGTGACCATTTTGTTATAAATCGATAATGTTAGTGATTAATTTATTAATTTTAAAATTTCAGTAGGAAAAATGATAATTTACTCAAGCATTAATGACTATCTTTGTAGTTATTCTTTTTAATTTTATATATTCATTGTGTCGTATCAATAATCCTTTAAAGGTCTAACGACAATCAACTTTCTCTAATCACATCTTAGTTAAATAAAAAAGAAACCGACCAAATATTATGTTTTTTGAATTTAACGAGGAAAAGTATAGGGAACTTAAACGAAAGTAATCAATCATGCCGTTTACTCTAAATTTAATAATCTAATAATAATTTTTAAAATATACATTACTTAATGGACTATTTGGAAATACATATGAAAATACTTTTGACTCAAAATTTCGCTTGAAACATAAAAATATTTCTAAACAATTTATTTTCTACCAAAAATTAATGTTTGAAAAATGATTATTGACTCAAATCAATAAATTAAAGAAACAATATTTATACGTTAAAAAAACTTAATAAAAAATTTCATTTGAAGAAACATTCACATATAAAGCCTAAATAAAGTAACATGTGGTTCGGATAAAATATATATTGTTTGAGGTAAAGATGAACTGAACAGCTTGATTGAAAATAAGCATGGCTTGATGAAAATATGCGTTGGTGAAATGATAAAATTATTCGTGAAAAGTTCATGGCCGTCTATGATCAATAAGTTATGGTTTATATTCTTTGTTTGATTTTTGAAAATATTTTTTATTTTTTATTTTCTGGAAATCCGGAAAACATATTTGGTAAAAAAAAAGTAATAATAAAATTTTTTAAAAACATGTTTAAGTAATTATTTTTAATGTTATAAGATAGTGATATTTAACGATTACAAAATGATGATAAAGAAAAAATACACATATTTTACGTAAATAAATCTAAACGAGAAAAACGAATACAAGAAGAATACTTACTATGCGTGGCTTTCAAGGCATCGATTAACTATTAATCTCAATCCATCATATATATAGAAACTTGATTATAAATGAAAATTGTGTAACAAGAAATTTATTTAAATTGAATTTTTTATTTAATAAATGTCTAACGGAATAAATAAGGCTAAATATGAACTCAATATGAGGAAAACTGACAAACGTTGTAATTGTTAAATAAAATTTTTTATTCTCAAAATAAATTGAATAAAAATGAAATAAAATGTAATACAGAAAAGAATGGTCGATCCGTAGAGACTAAAGAGCTTCTGATGTTGATTTGCTTTGATCCTAAAGAATAAATAAATAAAAGAAGGGTTTTAAAAATTGAAAGGAAGAAATCAAGAATTAAAAGAAAGAAAAATAAATTAATCTTTAAAGAAAATCAAATGAGAAAAATAACCTCAGACATCGTTTTGCCTCAATTCAAATTAATAACAAAAGATATTTTATTCCAAATTCATGTCGGTTACAATTTACAAGGCTATCTTTGGAATTCAGTTCTTACTTAAACTAACCACGGCTACCGCTGCTAGTAACAATGTAGCTTTAAATGTTAGAAAAGTCTGTACTCGAATTATGGTGTTTCAACGAGAATCGATGTAACAACCCGAATATTTACAAAATAAAATTTAATTGAAATTGGACGTTAATTGTGAAAAATTGGTGAAATTTAATGACTGAACTAAAATTTATGAAAAGTTATAGGCCATTTTATAAGTTGAAGGAAATTCAGGGACCAAGCCCTGAATTCCTCCAAGGAGTGTCGACAGGCTTATAATTTAAGCGTGGTTTCTGATTGTAAATCAGAAAACACAATTGAGAATGTGCTCAATTTTCCTTCTCTCGTACCCTTACTTCCAAGCCCGATTTCGACGCCGTTCGACGTCCAATCGTAAAATTGAAACCACCGTCGTGTTCATCTTCGACCCTTGAACAAAACCCAGTAAATCAATTATAGCAAAACACTGCCAAACGTCGGGAATTTACAGTCAAAGCATCGACGTTTTTTTTAGCTCTATCGCCGGGAAAATCTTAAATTCACCGCCGATCGTTGCTCTGTTTACGACACCTCCTGCACCATCGTGTTCCTTGTGTCGTTGCGAGTCCGCCGGTGTCAACCTTGTTCGCCGTTGACGGCGGCGCGTGAGGAGGTGGAGCAGTCAAACATTCAGCCGAGTTGGAATACGAGCTCTCCGCCGTTCAAAAATTTGAACCGATCGTTGTAAGTATCTCGAAATCGCTCAAAATAATTTTTAGAAATTTTTCCAGGAATTTTCCGACACCGTGGCACTGTTCACGCGCCGCACGCGCTGCCGCAGGGAGAGTGAGCTGCTGGAAAACCGGTTTGACCAGTTTTGAACCGGTTTGATCGGTCTGAACCGGTTTGATCGGTCTGACCCGACCCGTCTGACTCGACCCGACTGTTGACCCGACCCGACCGTTGACCCGACCCGACCATTGACCGTTGACCGTTGACTTTCTTTGACCAAAACTTAAAATGTCTTTGACCGAGCATTAAACGACCGTTAATCTTTTCCGAGTATACCTATCATGATAGTTTTCGACGTGCCGAATCCGTTTCCGCTGTCCGTTTTGTCAAATTCGAACCCGAAGGCCTCCAAATCGACGGTCATAGTGGTTGACTTTGACTTTGACCAAGAATCTGAATTTTCGGAAAGTCAAACTTTATGTTTTTCGACGTCCTGATTCCGATTCCGCAATCCGTTTGGCCAAATTCAGACTCGAAATACCCCAAAATGATAGTCAAACCTAAAAAAATGCTTATATAATTAAGAATTCTAGTTTTTGAACAATTAAGTAAGATTTGGGGCTGATAGATTATTATTGTTTGAAGGTACAAGAGACTCTCCGGATCGTTCGACAGCTCGACCCAGCCCTTCTAGATCAGTTAAACCACGTGTGCCAGTATTCACCCGTTCGAAAATTGTAGCAGAGCGTGGTGAAACCAGCAATCAGTAAATTTGCTATTTGAACCTATTGTCGAGGTGTGTTCCCTACTTATTATTGAACTGTGTTATTGGTTTTAATATGTGGTACACCGAATTCATTGGCTATTGTTTTATGGATGCACCAATTTAATGTGACAATTTATGGAATATGGCTGCTATCTAATTTTTGTTTTGAAATGGTATATGATTACCATGTTTTTGGATTTGTGGAATTTATGTCACGGTGCAATTGAATTTTGGAATTGAAATACGATGGAATAGCTCTGATCAAGCTAACTGGGCCTAATGTGACTCTTGAGGGCCCCAAGATGTTTCATTAGGTCGGCTTTCCTTTGCTGTGTGCTTAGGGTAAGCTATATGGACTTATTGACTTGGGCTTAAGGATACAAGCTTCATAGCCTATCCTTAAGTCGGCTTTCTTTTTGCTATGTGCATAAAGTAAGC